CATTGTAGGATACAAGTGTATGAAACTCCATTTATCTTATATTATTTATTAAAAAAACATGTCTTATAAAATGTTTAATCATCTCTATAATGATTTAAGATGTGTCAACTTATCGTTAGATCATTGATCTGGCATGCTGATACCTAGTCGAAAATTACATTTCTTGTTACAAAACCCTATTGGAAAAAAAAAAAAAAAAGAATAGAAAAAAAGCAATTATTTTCTGTATAAGTTTACTTTGAACACAGTAAGCCTAAGGCCAGCCATTGATGTTTACATTTGAAACATCTCTTAATAGGGGTCAAACATTCGATTTTACGGCAAAATAAAAGGTGAAAGGTAAAAGGAGTTTTGATCCCATTTCTTAAAATTTATTTTCAATTACGTAATAATAAAAAATTGATTTTTATTATAACTAAACGAGGTGCTTATTTTTCGTTCTCTTGATGGCTAAAACCATGCATCCTCCGATTCACGCAGCGTACCACCCCTAATGGGAAGAGGGTTTTCCCGGTTGTCAGTTTGGGATCGGAGTTGGAGAAAAATTTCTTTTCATTTTATATTTTTAATTTTAAAATAATTGAACGGAAAAGGGGATGAGGAATGGTGATCCATGCCCCCTTCTTTGCCAAGCTTAGTTTATTTAACTACAAAATTATTTATAACTTCTAAGATATTTCAATCTTCAATCGTTCTTAATTATTTTTTCTTTAAATGCAATTGAAAAAAAATAAAAATAAAAATCAATCGACTTATGTCTATTCAAGATTTTCAATATTTTTCTTTCAGTTGAATTGGTGAAGCCAGGCAACTACCATTATACCGTAATAATGAACTTTCATAGTAGTTTCATCCAAATAATTTGATCTTTTAATAAACGCCTGATGTTTTTGTAAACATATGAAGAAAGTGGGTACAAGAATGATTTGTCTATTTGAGCCGATAACAATCACATATCTTTAAAGGGGTCTACAAACCACACCATAGTTTTCATAGTGAGATTTGCTATCATTTGTACTCAATTTCTTCAAGGAATTTAACGTTTTACCATACTCAGAAATATAGAAAAGTACTCTACAATGTAAACAACCGTATTTAAAAAAAAAAAATAATAATAATAAATAATTGAAAAGAAATTGTTATATGAACAATTGGCTAGAAATAATTCGAAATATGAGTCAGCGAACATTGATCAACCGACACAAGATGGTTTAGTTAGAATTGTGCTTTTTGTTATTTCCATTTAATCTTTTGTTTCATTATTGCACTTAGCAATTTGATTGTTACAAAATAAAGTAAAAGGTCCTTTAGTCACATGGTTTAAAGGCATACATTTCAAGGATTTTTATTTCATAAAGTCTTATACAAAATATAACACTAAAATAACACAGCATAAATGATGAATTATATAATTCTTCAATGATGATGTAACAATTGGACCACTTAAGTTAAACAACCATTCAAATGCATTTACAATAAGATTTCAACTACATTAAAGGTTTACCTAACCATTTGATATTTCTTATTGGTGGTGGAGGCCGATGAGAATATCTCTGTCATTATCATTTTTGATATTTTTCTCGTAAAAAGTGTATGTTAACTCTTAATCATATCTCCTTTCAATTATGTATGCTGCACATTAATAGTGATGTTACACCAACAGGGTTTGAAAATAGGTTTTAGAACCAGACGCCACTTGTCGAGCACTAATTGCACAATTCTTTTTTTTTTTTTAAAGAAAGAGAAAAATTGGACCATACAGGGACGGGCACCTCACACTTGGTTTCAAACCCTATTTTTAAACCCTGTTTGAGTAGATTAATTGGCACATTAATGAGACAATCAAAGCTTTACTCATCAATTGATTAAAAAGGTTAAACCCTAACCTTAAGGGTCCCCCACCACCCTACCCTGAAGCATTATGAGGGAGGTAAATCGCAGGTTATGCCTCCAAGGGTACAAGATGAAAAGCTGCTTGTACACTTACACTTACCCAAGAGCTAAATCCATATTATATGTCATGTCACCGATATTTAGTATAAATAAACTCAACTTAAAGATAATAATTTAATCAATATATCTTTTAACTCGTATCATATCCTAGCCTTATCAACTTAAAAGGATGGGATATCACTTGTATGTAAATGAAGGCAAAATTGTCAGTCTAATTATTATTTGAAATTATAGTTTTAGTAGTTTTTCTTTTCAATAGGATCATATATTTAACAAATTAATTTAATTTCAAAAAATGACTAACAAGTGTATTTTTAAAAGAGGAATAACAAGTTGCATTTAATTTTCTCTAAAAAAATATTTTTAATTTATTATTATTAATAGCTTATATTATAAAATAAAAAAATGTGAATTGTAAATTTGTTTTAAATTGTTTTTTGAACCGAACCGAGCGTATCTGGCCGGCCGGCGCGAATTTATTAGTAATATTCACATAATTTAAAAATGATTAAAGACAACGGAAAGTGACAATCACGCGCTAACTGACATTTATGATTTATACCATTTGGCGGGATAGACACGGGCGGCAGCCGCAATTGGTATACACTCGATTCCTAGCGCGTGATATTGAATGCCCACCAATAGGAGCATCCACGTTTTCCTTGATTATTATTCATTTTTTACTTTATTTTTTAAGCTAGTAATCACATAACGATTTATGTACAGATGAGTTATCAAAAAAATAATGAATTTTTTTCTTATTCATTTGATTAAAAAAAAATCTCTGACTCCATTATAACCCGTCACATTACGTTTATATAAATTATATATATAATTTATATATATCTATAGTATAACCGCTACAAGTTTGAACCTCAATTGAGCCAAAACAAAACTAACTTGGTATTTCGTCCATGACACACTTAGTTTTTGTTTGATAATCATTATTTCAAAATTCTTTATTTTACATACATATTTTCAAATTTCTCACATGATAAAATATTCTTCACATACATTCGAAAATTTTCTTTACTTTTTAACTACACTTTCTCCCAAAATTCACTATTCAAAACATTGTGTTGAACAAATAATGACCATCAAACAAGGCTTAATATCTTAGACGAGGAAGAAAGAAAAACTTTTGACATACTTAGGTTTTAGAGAACGAACAAGCATTTAATCGTTTATATTGTAGCACATGATCCATTAACACTTTCGATATCTACTATAGCATCAAAGTATTTTTAGTGTGGTGACATTTCGATTTTTGGTTACAAATCAAGACTTAAAGAAGTTATACAAGAAGGTTCAATGTGTTTAAGGAATGAGAAGATACAAAATTTCGAATCCAAGATTATGTGGGCACGTTAATAGCTAAATATTTTCGAGATATGAGTTTGTGACTAATAGCTAAATATCTTCAAGCTATGAGTTTTATCACAAGTTGTAGTTACACATGATCTATTAACACTTTCGATATCTACTATAGCATCAAAGTACTTTTAGTGTAGGTGACATTTCGATTTTTGGTTACAAATCAAGACTTAAAGAAGTTATACAAGAAGGTTCAATGTGTTTAAGGAATGAGAAGATGCAAAATTTCGAATCCAAAATTATGTGGGCACGTTATAGCTAAATATCTTCGAGATATGAGTTTGTGACTAATAGCTAAATATCTTCAAGATATGAGTTTTATCACAAGTTGTAAATATTGTTTCAAGTTAATTTTGAAGAAAATAAAACAAAAAGTTGTATGCGTGATAACTTGTTCATGTACAATATTAGCTCTGTAAGTTTAAAAGTAATTGGACCAAGCTCCAAAAGAGGAGGATTGCAATTTTCTTAAAAAAAAGAAAAAAAGAAAAGAGACAAGCGACTCGACCCATGAGGCCATGAGTCGTTGGGCCCAATCGAGCCCCTTTTTGAAACACAACCCGAGTTCGAGTGTTTAAGGTCGAACCGGATTGCCACTTTTGCCTACACTGGGGGCATAATAAATTATTATTCACATAACTATTTTCACAAATTGAATTTTTTGACTTTATTCAGAAGTACTTTGAATTTTGAAAATACGAACGAGGGATGAAATATTGACCAACTGCCATCCTAAAAGTTACAACTTACAACTTGAAACATATAACCTAATTCTAAAAAAATAATAATAATCATAATTCACACATTTTTTGTAACTTCAGTACTTCATAACATTAATAAAAAAAAAAAAAAAAAGATTTTCGACTGTTCTCCCGACCCCCTCCTTACCTTCCTTTTCTATCCCATTTCGACGTACTCGGGAAATATATTTAGTAAAATGGGAATGAAGATTTAAAAAAAAAAAAAAGTTACCGTAGACATCGTTGAAAAATGAATTGATAGAATTTTTAATAAAAGTACACGAGATATTTGATACCTTAATAAGCCCCTGTTTCATCCCATTCTTTGAAAAAAAAAAAAAAAATTTTAAACAGTATTTTGATATTATTTCAAAGGGACTACTACACGTAATGTACAATCTCGGGGCCCATACATTAATTGGGCGTGGGCCCCTCCCTTCATGTAAGTGGAGTGTAAGATTTATACAAGGTGCTTCATACTTATTTCAATCACACATTTTTCAATAAAATAATATTTCATGCAAATTCAATATTTTTTTTAATTTTTTAATCACATATTTTTCATCAATATACTATTCAAAAATTCATTTACAGAGGCTCAAACAAGGGCTAGAGTCTGTACGATAGTGATTTTGAGAATTGATTTTTGAATATTAGAAAAAAAGTGGAAATCTACTGTAAGACAAGAACTCAAAAGTTGCAGCTTTTTTTGAGGATGAAAAATCACTCCCAATTTTTGGATCGAAGAAATCTACTTAAAAAAATAATAATAAAAATACTACGGAAACAATGTTGTGGAATGACAAATATACTGTTGATGGCTTTATGACCACGCCTGTCCTAAGAAAGCGAGTTTGAAAACTCCCTTTGGCCTTATCTACTCCCTCCCGCAGACAGCCATTTGTTTCGTACTTTTCTCCCTCTCTTATAATCTCTCTCTATATATACGTCCACTGTCACACTCTCTCTATATATATCTAAACATCTATATGCATAAATTCGAACTGTCCCGAAGACTCTCCCTCTCTCTCTGAAAATTCAGTGTCTTAAGAGTTTTGAATTGCTCAACGATAAGGTGATTTCAATTGTCGATTCAGTTGCAGAAAAATTTCAAGAAAAATCTGAGTGAATTTCGAGAAAGTCGTTTCAAATGGCTTCGTCGAAGGTGATGGCGTCAACATCACCACCCAATCCGGATCTGCCGCGTCAAACTTCGCCTACTTCTTCTTCTTTACATTCAATTGCTGATCAGACTCGGAATTTTGGGTCTATGAGCATGGAGGAAATTTTGAAGAACATTTATTGTGATCCTGATTCGTTTGTTGTGGAGAATAACGGCGTCGGAGGTGGGGATGCTGTTGCGGACGGTGGTAATGCTGGTGGAGGAATGAGAAATGGGAGTGGGGATGGGAATAAGACGGTGGATGAGGTGTGGAGGGAGATTGTTATTGGAGATGGAAATGGGGGTCAGGAGCCGGAGATGACTTTGGAGGATTTCCTGACGAAGGCTGGGGCGGTGGGTGAGGAGCATGTAAGGGTGCCGGTGGCGACAATCGGACCTCTTCCTCCTGTTCTGCCTGCCACAGCGGCGTTTGGTGTGGATGAGTCGATGAATTCCATGGTGGGAGTGGAGGCTGCAGGGCAGTTTTCTCCTTCCGTGTGTATAAGGAATGGATCAACAGGCGGAGGGTATGGGGTGGAGTTTGGAAATGGGATGGTGGCTGTGGGAAGGAGGGGCGGCGGCAATGGCAGAGGGAAACGTAGGGCGGCGTTAGAAGACGTTGTGCTCGATAAGGCCACTCAGCAGAAGCAGAGGAGAATGATTAAAAACAGAGAGTCTGCTGCCAGGTCCAGGGAACGGAAGCAGGTTTTTTTTTTTCCTTCCTTTAATTCATGTTTCTCTTTATATAGTTTTGATTGAATTGATTGCTAATCTGATGATGATTTTTACAGGCTTATACTGTGGAGTTGGAGACATTGGTGACACGACTAGAGGAGGAAAATGCTACGCTTTTGAGAGAAGAGGTATCATTTTATTTTCTTAATTTTATTGGACAATACAATTCAAATCAGTTTACCCTTTAAGGTCTTGCATTTATTTGTGCATTTTGTCGCTGTTTTGATCCCAAGACAACTTTTTGATAGAAAAATATCGATTCTTCAAACTCATTGGCTGGACTGTCAACCAATCGAGAAGAATGGGGGATTTAGGTGGTTCAGCTGTTGCTAAAAACTAAATCTTGAATGGCTTATTTTTGCCAAATTCTTCTATTCAATGTCTTATTGTACATCTTATTTCTCCACATAAATAAAAAGAACTGGCAGATTCTGTTAATCTAATTTATAAATTATGCGAGAAAGGAACATATTCTAAATTTTGGCAGGTCGACACAATTTTTATCAAGAGAGTTTTTACTCCATTCCATTCCTTTTTTTTTTTTGAAGGGCTTGTGGGGTGATAAATTTTTGTTTGCTTATTGGATATTTTGAATTGCCCTGAAATTTGAAAGGCAAGGAAAAAGGAAGAAGTGGCAGCCTGGCAATCTTTGCTTCCTTTCTATTTGTTGTTTATGTCCCATGCTATCTCGCTTTCATCTCCATATAGATCATAGTTGGCTAAGTTTAAAAGCCTTTTTAAGAGCCTTTTAGGCAAACATGCAGTATGCCGGATGAGTCTCCATCCTGCTTATAGGAATCTTACACATCATGTTACTAGCAGTTCCCTGACAAAGACCAAATACACACACACACACACACACACACACACACACACACACGTTTCACTTACTGAATCAGTATTTGTTATATTTTGAGTCTCAAGTGTGTTCATCTTGTTTTCTAGTATTTAGAAGTTCCTAAAGAATATTTTTCAATTGCAGGACACACGTTTCACTTACTGAATCAGTATTTGTTATATTTTGAGTCCTATTTGTTATATTTTGAGTCTCAAGTGTGTTCATCTTGTTTTCTAGTATTTAGAAGTTCCTAAAGAATATTTTTCAATTGCAGGCTGAGCAGAGCAGGAAGAGGTATAAACAGGTACAGTTTTTCTAGGATATAAGAGTTAAATATTATTCAGTTTCCATCTCTTTCACAACTCTCCTTGACTGATTACTTTTGACCATTAGAATTGTGCACTGCACGTTTCTTCTAGTGTGAATAATTTTCTCAAGGGAAATTTGCAGACAACTCAATGATTTTCCAGATGCATATACTGCTGATGGAGACAATTGACTGTTTCTTTGAGAATATGAAAATACTACATCTTCAATTAACACATGTATATGGTGATCTAGCCATTCATTCGTAATAAGAAGTTGGTATACACACGAGTTTACCTGTTCCATATGCTTTTACACTTTTATATGTTGATCTAGTCATGAGATCGTAAGCATATGCTTGCATATATGTTACAAATTCATGTGAAAAAAACATATTCTTATTTTTAGCGTAAAGCAAAGGCATATGCATATGCTTTATGCTAGAACATTTGTTGAATTTCTTTACCTTTTCTGCCACAGTAATTAAATTTAACTAAAGAAAAAAAGTAAAATAATTCTCATTTTGCCTTTGATAAGTAGTTGTAGATAAAATATCTAAGTTCATTTTACACATCATTGTAATTGTAGTACTGATTTATTTGTTTGTATTTCTCTGGAGGATGCTAGCACACCTTGTGATATCGTTAATTATGTTTATTATCAATCCTATTTTCCACAAATTGTCATTCTATAATTATACTCAATTTGCATGAGCATTAATACTTGTAAAGCAATGTGCATGACCTAATTGCTGAAAGTAATTGTAGACAATAACTAGTATTCCATGACATCTAGAGCAAATTAAGGATGAGTATAACTGAATTTAACTCCCCTTCATATGTTCTGTATTATTTGAAATATCGTGAGTGTTCACTTGTTTTGGTTACCTAATGAGTGATTGAAGTAGATAAAAGTTAATGTAAAGTTCTCAGAAACTTCTATTAATTGTTTATGTGAACGTGTATAAGATGATTTCACAGGGGCGTCGTAAAAGTTTGGAGTAGCCAGAACTATACTTGTAGGATAGTTCAAGCCATTTGTTCATGTTTCTCCTGTAAAATGTGCTTGCTGAGACATTTCTCTCTTTCTTGTTAAAGTTGTATGCTACAAGTTAGCATACTCTTTACAACTTCGATCATACTTTAAGAGAGAATTATCAAACGGAGTTTGATGAGAAGGTAAAATGGGAATCACAAAACTGTCCGTCATGCTTGGACACAATACAAGACATTGAGAAATGCATCCAGATACACTTTTTTAATGTCTTGAATCTTTCTGAAAAAGAGTAGGTTTTTTCATGTCCTCTTCCTGCTTTGAACCTAATATGGTCAAGTTATTTATATTGTGCTGAAATGTTGCTTATTGAGGCATTATTTATATCCTTCCACAGTTACTTTTGGGGTATGCTAACTTACACTTGGTATCTTCTAATGTGTAATAGTATTTAAAGGTTATATCATCCAGTGTTTCTTCAATTCCATTTATATGGTTTGCTTGTCGAATTTTAAATTGGTTGGAGCTATGATAGAGATAGATCATACAGTAGGACTAAGAAACTGTGTACATTTTCGTATATGATGTCACTCGAGCTTTGGTCAATATGAAAGTAACAAGTTTAAATGTTAAATAAGATCATGCAATAGAGCAGTAGGTTCTGAAAATATTTACTTTTAATCAGTTCTGCAGGAACGTGCTGCATTCTCCAGGCTAATAGCTGATGCACTTTGATCCTATTTGAGTGGAATACTGCATTTCTATCAGGCAACACTGCTTAGTGCTATCTCATATTGAACTTTTAGATGAACTTCTTAGTGTTTGATTTGTAGTCTGTATGGGAAATTAGATCAGTGATGCTTGAGTGGTTTTTAGCTCGTACTCATGATTCTCCTTTTTGGCCTCTTCCATCCAATATGGTATTATTTCTAGTGCTGTTATGAGAGAGTTTATACATGATTGGTGCAGGCTTTAAATGTGTATATCTGTTTATATACACAAACTATCTGTTGTAGACAACTAATATCGTTTACTAATGAAATTGATTGATCTGGTAATGCTAATTCATCTTGTAAGCTTATCCTGTTTCAAGATACTTTGAAATATTGAGCTTATGTAGATTTGCATCAACACATTGCCCGTACAAAAGGCTGATTGTTTCTAAGGTCGTGCACTGTATCATTTCTGTAATCTCACAATCCTTTGTAACAATGGATCTGAATTGTGACTCTTAGAAATAAAAAATCTCCTAGAATGTGAAATATAATTATCCGGCCTTTAAGATTGGCACTTGATTTTTGAATTTTATCTTGACGGATGAGATGTCAGTGTCTCCTGAAGCCCCATACTTGGGTACTCACATATGCAATTCTATCATGGAAGTCGATTCTACTTCTATTCATCTCAACCAACATATATTGAATTCTTTACTGCATCTTTAACATTCTTTTCCCATTTCTTTTGTTTCTATTTTACGTGCAGCTCATGGAGAACTTGATTCCAGTGGTAGAGGGGAAGAGACCTCCAAGGATTCTGAGGAGAGTGCGTTCCATGAACTTTTAGGTAGTCTCGAAGTTATGATTGATGATAAATACTGAAGAAACTAGTTCATTGTTGACTGCTGGAGTTTTAGTAATGTCGCTGGAAGACATTCTGATCCGGGAAAAAGATCTGGTTGGATATTGATTTGATAGTGAACTTTCTACCGAGATAAAAGCTGAATGTAGCTGTTGAAGCCTTTAAGTGATCTAAGTTGATTTTTTGATGGATATGTTTGGTGGGTATCAGCTGCACTATGTGCAGTTTTTCTGCATAGTTTGGTGTTGTAGATAAAGAAATCTTTTACAGACTAGCTTTACCGATTGCCGCGTCCGGATGACTGTAGAAATAGGCTATAATTTATACCAATGACATATTTTCCTGATCCAACAAAACAATATTGCATTAGAAACTAAATCAGAAGACACATTTTATGTTATGGCTGCACTCATTTATCACTGCATCAACAACCATGTATTTGTTGATCTTGAAAGTTATGTTTCGTTGCAGATTTGTTCTCACTTGAAATCATTTGTGAGCTTATAACTAGTGGGCATATTTGCTTCTTGAGTTTACCAATTTACCATTCTTTAATATTATATTTTCAGAAATATCAAAGTTTGAGAAACTTTCTATAATTCAGGTCATAATTAAAAAAAAAAATTTGTATGAAAGTGGGCAATAATTGATTTGTATAAGGTAAATATGTAACCTGAATGGGCGTTTATTAAATGATGGTTGATTTTTATCTCTCATCATATTCAAATCTGTATGCGTCTTCCATATTTCAACATCTCTAAGAATAAAGAGAGAAATTGTGGCTCTATGGATACGAATTTCCTCCACATGTTTTCGGTCACAAGTACCATTCTACATTTTACAATGGATCACAACATCATTTTGCAAATCGCAGTAAGGAGACATCTGGAATTATGTCTATGAGAAGGTGTGTGGCAAGATTTATATGAGAAGGTGTGTGGCAAGATTTATATGAGAAGGTGTATGTCAGGATCTTGCCACGCATAATTATGTCTCATTTTCTTAAAAGATAATTAAGAAATTACAAATATGCAAGTTACAAGGATGCTTCTTGTACTAATTTCTATTGACACATTACTAATTTTCCTAGCGTGGATTTACTTGAAGTAAACGTGTATACTTCGAATTATAAATGGAGAATTTGTTGCTCACTTCATCTTAATGGGTCGACACATGAAAACCAAGAAATTGCCTGCAAAAGATACATATCAAATATTACACTTACAACCAATAACAGAAAGCTTGCAAGTTCTTCACAATTTTTTCTTGAATCGACAAGAATTTGCAACACCTAGCAATAACATGTACAGAAAAACCGGCGCCTGAGGGGTGCAAATATCATACTTGCCCCCTCCGTGGAAACCAAGTGCGGAGTATTGGAGTATAACGAACGAGTTTTTAGCTCTCTTTTTCCTTAGTACTATCCAATCCTTTTGACGAAATGTGCTGTGAAAGTTCAGCTTTAAAAGAAATACAGAAGGCACCACCAAACTTCTACAACTTGACATGGAGAGGAATTTACAGAAACCAGCACTAACCAAGAAGTTCTTCTCTTTGTTCCCCTGTTCTACCAACTATTTCCCTTGCATGTTCTTTAAACGACACAATCTATCTCTAATTCCTTGATTTTAATTAGTAAAATAGAAGCTAAAATTTAGAAGGTACTATGACTTACCTTAGAGATTAAATATACCAGGTACACAAGCATCTATAATCAAAATGAAAGCATGGTTAGAAATCCTAAGGTAAGAACTGGAGAGCATTTGGAAAATTTTAAAAATAAAACACAAATTTGATGAGCAAACAAGTGATTTTACCAATTTTCACATTTGATGCCAAAAAAAGAAGTGAATAAGAATGACAGTGTCATTAAAAAAAGTCTGAAGTATGAAATAAACAAATGTTGAAAAGAAATAGAAACAATACTAAATTAATTAAATAGATAAGGTGTATAGAGTACGAGAAACTTAATGATTTATTTTCCACATATGATAACCTATCTAGTGCATATATAGCAAACATGAAATTGTTCTTCTATTCATAGTGGGCATGATAAAATTGTTCATTTGCTGATATGGCATGAGAACCTTACTTACGGGTTCTCTCCACATGTCAGAATTTTAAATAAGGTTTTATTCAACGATGACAAGATAAGACTTTCCACTGTGGATAGGAGAGCAGGAGTAATGGCATGCATAGGCTTTGCTTCAGTATCCTAAAAGCACTAAAAGGGCAATGTTTTATCTAGGTAAGATGACAATTTGGAGGCTAGTCAACAGGAAAAGAAACAGTAAAATTCTTGTAGCCAATACCTAAGGCCTAGGCTAAAGTATAGTCTATTCCCTTGAGTCAAGGATTAAGTCGAGACCAACACCCTTGAAGCCAATGTCGATGCCCTATAAGCTAAGGATGGGCCGACCTTAACCTAGGAGGGT